AATATAATTTATTTACAACAATTAATAAATTTATCTTAACATTATTTATATAAGAAAGTATTTTTACAACTTGGTAGTAGTGGATAAAGATTATTAAAACTACAATATATACTTTACAAATACACTTTATATATACACTTATACTTTATACTTATCAACATATATATTAGAATGAATTTATAATAATTTTAACAATTTATGAATGAATTTGTCTCTTTGCTTAAAAATCTTACTAATGCTATTCAATCTTATCAAAACCAATTGGAAATACAAAATCAACAGCTTCAACAGTTATAGCAACAACAAAATGAAAATACTACTGGTAGTGATAGTAGTGTTACCATTTTCATCAAAAATTTCATAATTACTTAATTATTGATCAACAAAAATTAAGATGTATTACAAAGAATATTAAATATTACATCATATAACTCAATGATGATCAAATTAATTCATCCCTTTATTTTTGCATTGTATTCCATTATATGATTATATTTAGTATATATCATTATCTTTTTGATATCTAGATCATAATACCTAAATATTAATCACATTTTTGTACACTTTGTTTTATTTTCTTTTACTGTTGCACTAAATTTGTTTATTCTTGTATTTTTTATTATAAAACTTATATTTTTATATTGGTTTATCTCATCTATATTTCTATTACATTTATTTTTATCTTTTTATTTTATTATTTTTAATTAATCATTTATATATTTATTTTCTTTTCTTTTTCACTTCTGTTGTAATTATTCTTTTTATCTTCTAATTTCTTTGTTATAATTATCTATTATCATATTTATAATATTGTTTTCTTTCTATACAACACTTCTTTTTACTTAAACTCTTACTTTTCTTATCTTAAACCACTAGAATTACAACTAATTTTCTTATGTATTTTCTTGTTAATGAATTTGTGTAATTCTTATTTATTTTTTGATGTTTATACTTTTTTTATATTAATAATATTATATGTAAATCGTGGTATAGTTTAGAATAATCATTAGTTTTGTAAATTATGTAAAAGATTGAAAATATATAAAAGAAGAGTTTCTTGTTACTAGAAACTCTCATGCTTTAATCCTTTTATCTAATAAATAATAAAGTTCTTACTAGTAATATTTTACTTGTAAATATATTATTATTTTTGTGAATTATTTTTAAATCTTGAAATTACAAGTAGTGGATATTCCTTCACTCTAAATAAGCCGTTGACATTATTACTTTTGTTTTATTACTTTTAGACAGTTTCAATAAATTCTATTTGATTATTTTTAATTATTTTTATTTATATTTTGTAATTGGTACTTTTAATAAGTTCAATTATTAGTTTATTTCATTAGACATCTTCAATAAGTCCTGTTATTCACTTTGAAACTATTTGTTAATTTCTTTACTTCTTTTTGAATTTTCACTTTATTTTTCTATCTATTTTTATTCTTTATTAATAATATTTAGTTAGTTTGCATACAAGCTATTACAGGGGATCTTTAGAATCTTTAGTGAACCTCATTAATTGTAATTCATTCAGTCTTTGTTCTTTTACTGTTATGTTACTTTGCTAATTCATTAATTTTGAATTAACGAGAATAGTAGTCAAGTACCTATTATAAATAATAATGGTAAAAACAATAATTCAAAAATTCCAGTCAAAATTTTAACTTATAAAGATGAATCTAATGAAAATATTTTGATATGATTATTAAGAATTAAAAGTATCTTTGTCATTCAAAATGTTATCAATGATGAAGCAAAAATAAATTATACACTGAACTTGAAAATGCAACCTTTCATTGATATCTTAACAAGTTGAAAACAAATATTAATAATACCAATTTCATTTTTGCTGACTTTGATACCTTTGCTTAAGAACTAAATAATGCTTTTCAATCACCAAATTATTAATAATATTTAAAAAAAATAACTTAAACAACTTTATTAAACTGGTATAGTTTAAAAATATGATAACAAGTTCAGAAATCTTGTTGAATAAATAGAAGGTATGGGTGACCTAAATTAAGTTATTTATTTTATTAATGAATTGAAATCAATAACAAAAATAGAAATAAGTTATCAAGCACTAGAAAATTTGAAAAATGCATAAAAACTAGCTATTAGATATGATACAGCTATGTTTGATACTGGCAAATCACTCAATAATAATTTATCTCACAAAGTACCATTCAAAAGAACTCCATAATTCAGTTATAATATATCAAATAACTCTATAAGTACATCTATGAAATTGGATCATGCTGAACAATTCAAAAAAATTTTACTTTCAATAATTTCAACAATAATAAAGTTAAAGATAGCTGTTATAAATATAATAATTAGGTTACTTTATTAAAAATTGCTATTTAAAAGACAAGACAAGAATGAATAACATTGAAAAAATTGCAGAATCTTCTACAAAACAACAAAATGAAAGAGTAGAATTTGCTTATATTGCTGATAACAAAGAAAGATTATTGAAATTTAATGGACAAATTAATAAAAAAAAATGCTTGGATCTTGTTAAATAGTGGCACATTAAGAAATTTTATTGATGAAAAATTTGTTCAAAAAAATTATATTAAAGCTAAGAAGATATAATTAATTATAGTAAAATTGGTTAATGACAAGAAAATTACAACTACAACTACAGTTAACATTCAAAACTTGAAATTAAATACTTATAAAATCTTTAGCATTAATACTCAAGTTCTCAACCTATAATACTATGACTTGAAAAACTATAACTATTTCATGCTAATCCAACTATTAACTAGAGAAATAACACTTTAACTTTTAACTATGGCAACAAATTTATTAAAATTATAGCAGATATTAATCTAATTCATCTAGTTATAATTCTATCTATATCTCTTATCAACAATTATCTAATTGTTCAAATAATACTAAATTATTTGCTATATGTTTATCCAATATTGAAGACAAAACAAGATATTAATATCAAAAACATATAAAATAATTCAACAATTTTTAGATGTTTTTTCAAAAGAACTACCAGCAAAACTTCTATCTACAAGAGTAATTAATCACAAAATTAATTTAATACCTGAAAGTGAATCACCATCTCATTCAACATATAGATTATCATTTGTAGAAATGAATAAATTGAAGATTCAATTAACTAACTTGTTGAATAAAGATTTCATTCATTCAAGTATATCACTATTTGAAGCACCAGTTTTATTTATTCATAAGAAAGAAGGAACTTTGAAACTATGTATTGACTATAAAGCTCTTAACAAAATTACCATCAAAAATAGATATTCATTATCTTGTATAAATGAACTTATAAATAGATTAGTTGGATCAAAATACTTTACAAAATTTGATTTATATTCTAAATATCACCAAATTTGCATTGCAAATGAAGATATTCACAAAATTGTATTTAGAACAAGATATGAACATTTTGAATTCTTGGTTCTACCCTTTGAATTAACAAATACTCCAGCAATTTTTATAATACTCATGAATAATATCTTTTAAAAATACTTGAATAAATTTGTTATTATTTATTTGGATGATATTTTAATCTATAGCAAGATCAAAAAAGAATATCTATAATATTTGAAGACAATATTAAAAGTATTACAAGAAAACAAATTATATGTCAAGATAAAAAAATATAAATTTATCAAATAATATATTAAATATCTTGATCATTTTATCTTAGCAGATGAAATCTTAGTTAATCAATACAAAATTACTATAATAAAAAACTGATCAAAATCAACAAATATATCTGAGTTGAAATTATTCCTAAATTTAACAAGTTATTATTACAAATTTGTACAAGACTTTTTAGCAATAACATTATCATTGACAAAACTTTTATACAAAGATCAAGAATATAATTGACAAAAAGTAGAACAATAAGCTTTTGAAACTTTAAAACAACATTTAACCATAGCACTAATTTTGATATTACCTGATCCAAAATTATCTTTTACAGTAACAACTAATGCTTCAGAATATGCTATTGGAGCAGTATTAAGTCAAAATCAAGATAAAAGTGAACAATCAATCACTTATGAGTCAAGAAAATTTATCTTAGCTGAACAAAATTATCCAATTCATAAGAAAGAATTACTAGTAATCATTCACATAATTAGACTTTAGATTATATTTGGAAGGTCAAAAGTTCACTATAGTAACTAATTATATTTCACTTGAATATATCAAAACTCAAAAATAACTTATCCAAAAGATAAGTATGTTAATTAGAAACTTTACAAGCCAATAATTTTGATATAAAATACAAACCTGGAAAAGATAATGTAGTAACAAATGCTTTATCTCATCAAACACATCTCACCAATATTAATACTATCAACAATAAATTAATTAGTAAAGATGAACTAATTGAGAAGTATAATGAAGATATATATTTTAAAGAAATCTTAAAAATATTGCAATATTTAGAAGCAACACCAAAAGAGCAAGCAAAAATTCGTTATTTTGAATTGAAAGATAATAAAATTTATTTAAAAATACATCTATTCAGACTTGCTATCCCAAATGATAAAAATTTGAAGATAAAAATCTTATTTAAATATCATAACACATCATGTTGAAATCAACAAGACATATGCTAATATTAGTTAACAATTTTATTGGTCAAAGATGAACAAAAGCATTTATAAATATGTCACCAGTTGTGAATTATGTCAATGCAATAAAAGTAGTAATCAATAATCAAGTGAATTATTATAATCACTCTTAATATTTCAAAATAAATGGGAACAAGTTATAATGGATTTCATAGTGCAACTATCAAAAACCAAACAAAACTATGACTCTATTGTTGTTTTGTTGACAAATTTATAAAAAGAGCACATTTTGTTCCAATATATATCACAGCCACAACACCAGATATTGCAAAAATATTCTTTTCATGTCTGAATAATCAAAGATTAGGCTCTTTGAATCATAGTTTTTTTGTATCATGTTTATTATATATTATTATCATGTATTAATAAAAAATGCATAAAGTTAATTTTTTGTACATAAACTATTGCATATGACCCATTAATTCAAATTTATGTAATTTTCATACTGTTGGTTCAAAGTTATCTATTCTTTTACTAATAATTTTTTAAATAAATGTTCCTGATCAATTTTCTTGAATTGCTTTTAATTTTTTTCTCTTCTAGATTATTTTTTTAATTGTTCTTTCAAACAATCATAAAATTTCCAAGCATTGTTATATAAAATCTCATGTTTCTATTTTATATGGTTCATATTCAATTGCAACTATATAGAAATTATTGCATAATAATATTATGAAAAATATAGATTCAATTTTAGCAAAATTTATGTCAAAATGCTCGTCTTGATTAAGCGAGTCGAATGAATCCAAAATCGTGGAAATCTGATCACAGTCTTGCGAAATACCAGCATCCAAAGTTGTCTCACGAATCTGGTTATTATTTTTTGATTTCGCAAAGCTATTTTAGGCAATTCGGATAACGTGTAGAAGAGCATGCAACATTTATTCCGATGACTGCTGTATAATAAAAATATTGATCTGCATCAAAAACAAAAAACCACGGATTTCACCCTTTCGTAAATTATCAAAGAATAATCTATATTATTAAACTTTCATATATTAAACTTTAAATCCAGACTGGATATACAGAACTATGACTTGACTTTTCATATTTTCGTGTCTTCTACAACATTGACCTGAACCAATCACCCATTAAACAGACATCACTTTTCAAACATCATACGAGCCAAACTCTTTAACATTATGCTAACTCTCACAAGACTTCTTTTTGTAAGACTTCCGTTAAGAAAAGTACCTTCGGTAAGCTAATTACGTGTATTCTCAATTTCTCGAAGTTGTTATGCACCAATTGTACCGATTATCATTTGTAGAATTTCCAGTTGGCGCGCAACTACTCCTTGTTTGAAGCTATCGAAAGAAGAATTAATAACTATTTCGAAAGATCAGACATTATTTCTTCTCAAGAGGTTGCTAAGTTACTTACCATACAACATGATAAGACGATTGATTTATTGAGAAAATTAGAAAGAGAAAAGTCGGAGTTGTCAGACAAGAAAAGTCGGAAATATTGGTTGAAATGGAAAAACTTTGGTATGTAGCTGAAAGGCGTACACAATCACTATTACAAATGAGGCACTCGTGTAATGTACGTGGGGCATTAGAATTTATTCGCGCACAGGTAATAGTGGATTCTGTATTTGTTTGTCTGTTTTGCTATCTGATTTTTGAATACTAATGGGATTTTTTTCTCTCCTTTCCATGATAGATTACTGAGCCAAATGACAAGTCCTTGGTGCTTTTGTCTCGGGATGAAGATTTTACCAAAAACTTAAAGAAAGCGTGTGAAGATAATTTTCTTCGGTATGATGATGTTCGAAGAAGTTTAGGTGGTCTCTACTATACTGCATCAAAATCCTTCCATGGACATGAAAACGAAATTATTATTGATTCACGAACCTGGATATCAAATGAGGTTTTCTTACTCGGCGTGATATTTCGACATACAAAATTTCGTTCTCATATTGCGATACAGATGGCAAACTGGTTGAATATCTTTATAAGGTTTAATTGGATTTTTTATCAGGATTCTTATATGAGAAAGTAAAATTAATATGTAATATGGTAATTGACTTGCATCAGAAAAATAAAATTTTTCATCGGGCTTAAATTTTTTAATTTGTGATAAATGTGATTGTCGATTTATTATATATAGAAATTTTTCTTGGCAAAGTGATCGGTTTTCCGAAACAGAACGCGCACGTGATTTTATCTATGTTACGTATTTTGAGCAAGGATACTTCAAAAAATATTGCAATTTAAATTTAAATTAAAAACAATAAAATAGGTTAATTTATAATATTATAATGAAAATTTCACTTTTTTGATATTTTACTAAGAAACATATATATGCAATCATACTTTATGCATTCGTTAATATGTCCTGTAAATTCACGTTTTTACTATGATGCGAATGGCTTAGTCACATAAAATACTGCGCCATTGCTGAATTTTTTCTTGAAGAATTATCATTTACAAATAAGCTATTATATGCAATGTTAAGAAGAATTATCATTTTCAAATAAGTTATTATATATAATGCTAATTATAATTTTACATGATAAAATTTAGCCAATCGAAAATAATACACGTAATATTTTAGGTGCTGAAAATTTTTCAATTATTATTAATTACAAACAATTTTTATAACAAAATAAATAAAAAAATGTTATATTATAAAACATATTAAAGACTTTGATAATATATTTTTTTAATTTTAATTATTTAAATAAAATTCTTTATATTTCAAAGTTATTTGATAATTTTAGATCATTTGTATTATAATTATTTTTATTTTTAGCTATCAGCATTTAATTTTTGTTATTTAGAATAATTATTATTAATTAAAAATAAATAGATATTTAACAAATATTATATAATTAAAAATAGGAATAAATAAATAATTTATTTATTATTAGTATTTTTGATTGATAACAAAAAATTAACTAGTTGATTGTAATTAAAATTATTAGCCAAAATCAATTAGTCAATTTCTGTTATAATATTTTATATTTAATAATAACTATACAGTCAAATTTCTCTATAATCACCATTCTCGGGAAAGCAAAATTTGGTGACTATAGAGAGAATGTGACTATTATTGTGATATGAATTTTAACATATCACATGACTTTTCATAGTTAATTTTCATTGAATAATTGATTTGTAAATCATATCCATATTTATTTCATATTATCCATATTTATTTCATACTATTTTTATAACATTTCATTCTATTTCTATTTTATTTCATACTATTATTATTTTATTTCATAC